TGAAGAGGAAGCTTCTGCACAGAAACTCAGCTTATTTATTTATTTATTTGTTTTAATTCTTTTTTTTATGACTTTGGGAGAAAGAAGATGCCGCAGCATTGCCAGTCGTGTGGCAACGGCTTGTTAGCTACACCGGTGTTCCATGCAGCAGCGACAGTGATGCAGTGCCATCCACCCAGGCTGTGTGCCCGGCACTGTGCTAAACTCTTTGTGAGCAAGTGCTTTTGCTATAGGGCGCGTGCGCTCGCCAGAAAGACAGAGAGAGACAGAGACAGAAAGCGAGAAATCACCCCCCCCAGGGGGGATGGTCACGCCGCAATCCCTTCTCCTCCATTCTCTTCTTGGGATCTTGGGCATGCATGCACATGTGCCTGGCGTGAGTTTAAGCCACCAGGTCTGGGACTCGAACCGCAGTCAACTACATGGGAGTCCAGGGACATAGCCAGTACGCTAACTGCTGGTCCCTGCACTCTAGTTTTTAACTGTAAAGACTGAGGACCATGCTTCTACCTGGATTCAAATCTCACCTCTGCTATTTATTTCTTGTGTGACCTTGGGCAAATAATTTTGCCTAAGTCTTATTTCTCCTGAAACATGGAGATAAAAATAGTACCCGCTTCGAAGGATTGTGGTGAGATTAATCCAGCACTTGCTCACAAAGAGCTTAGCACCGTGCCGGGCACACAGCCTGGATGGATGGCACTGCATCACTGTCACTGCTGCATGGAACACCGGTGTAGCTAACAAGCCGTTGCCACACGACTGGCAATGCTGCGGCATCTTCTTTCTCCCAAAGTCCTCTTGTCTGCGAGGCTCCCCTGCGTTCTGGATTGATGAGCATGACAGTTTCAAAGGACTCTAGAGCTCACCACCACCCTGAACTGCACAGAGAAGTGAAGTGGCAGCTGGAGGAGAGTGAGGAGCCGACGGCAGAGCTGGGCCTGGAGCCCGTGCTCTGAGTGCCCAGGCAGGCCCACCACAGCTGAGCAGCATAAGGAGGCAGAGGGTTGGGGTGAACCAGATCTCACAGCAGAAACCACCCAAGCCAAGATACTTTAACAAGGTCCATGTTCACAAAATTGGCAAAAACAATCAGCCACCAGATGTCAATTGGGAGTGAAGAAGTTCTGAGTGACAAGCGACAAGAGCAACAGCATTCTTTTCTACAGGTTGGTCAGCAAGAGGAGGACAACGATTGCCTTTCACTGTGGACCTAGTGCCAGAGGAAGCGTGGAGTAATGGGGTAGGGGCGGAAATCCTGAGAGAGAGGAGGGAGCATAAGTTGGATGAGATCACGCACACAAGTCTTTTTTTTTTTTTTTTTTTAATGTTTGCCAGAACGCATGTACGCTCATTGGACGGTGGGGGCGGGGACAGGTGGGGGTGAGCAGCTGACACGTTCATCTGGCATGTTCAGGTCGACTGGGGAACCAAACCTGCCACCTTGCGTGTGGACCTAGCATCACTTGAGCAGCACTTTATTGCCCTGTCACCCAGCACACCCTTGGCTCTGCATTTTAGCAAATGGTAATCTTGGGCTGGTTACCTAACGAGTCAGACTGCCACCACCCTGCCTATCAAACGGGGGGGGGGGGGGGTGGTATATTT